AGCTCAGGTCATATTGTCACAGTTCAGGGGTTCGAGCCCCACATTAGGTTATGTGCTAGCAGTGCAGAGCCTGCTTGGGATTTTCACTCTCCTCTCTCTGCCCCTCCCCCACCTCTCTCTCTCTCTCTCTCTCTCTCTCTCTCTCTCTCTCTCCACACACACACACACACACACACACACACACACACACACACAAACTCCAAAACTCCTAGGAATATTCTAGTTCCGGGTGCCAGTTGGTACCAAGTTCTTGCTGTGGGTCTGTCCTTCTCAGAGCTTTGTTATTCCAGCCCTCTTTCCCTAAGTCAATAAATATTAATACTTTTGCCTAATCAGTTTTTGAATTGGGTTCATGTCTTATAACCTTAAGAGTTCTGGCCATTAGGATACTCCTCTTTTATGCTCCCTCAACAGTATCTTCTAGATTTACTTAGCCGTTTCTACAACTAGGCTATAAACGCCTTGAGGACAGGAACTTCTCATTCACTAATATGCTACTTGGCACATGGTAGATAAGCAGTAGATATTTGTACAATACATTTCATTAATAAGTGGATGGGTGAATGAATGAAACAAGATATGTTATTCTCCAGCTCCCTCCTATACCTTCACTACTTGCCATCCTTTATGCCTCCCGAGGAGCTACATGTGGTCCCCTTCCAGAGTTCTCTTTACTGAACATTGTTGAAGAACCACAGTGTCCAAAAAAAAAAAAATCATAGGCCTAGTTGCCACGGCCTCAAGGGCAATGCATGACTAGATAAATCCCTTTGGCAGTAATGAGATGGAGCCAAATCCATCCGAGAAAAATCTGTGATGCAAGAGGCGGCACATGGTGAGAGACAGTCCTCTGGCAGCGTGGCCTGGGGTCTAGCTGAGCCAGCCAGGAAAGAGTCCCAGTCATTATCAGAATCTAGTGTAACTGTAAAATATGACCTAATTAAGAGGCGTGAGACCGTTCCCTCATCCTTCTCTTAGAGCAATAAACAGAAACAACAACTACCCTCTAATGTAAGGCTAAAAATAGTAACTACCGTATAGTTATTTTAAATTAATTGATATACTCTCACTGTATCACCTTGGAAAATAGAAAGTGCCAAATAAATGGCAGCTATTGGTATTATCAATTTGCTTTTGACTCCCTAAGTAGGTTTTGGAAATCTTTTTTTCTTCTTCACAGGTGAAAGTCTTTCCACATAAAGTCTCAGGGGAAAATGAATTTTTTTTCTCTTAAACCTTCAATTAATTTAGACTTTATTTTTCAAAAGCTTAAAAAAAAATCCTCATAGTTCCAGTTATCTCAATCTAATGAGTGAAAGGGGTTATTCAAATGTCTTACTGTAAAGAAATCTTAAGTTAATAGCCAGAAAGATGCCTGAAAAATAAATTACTTCAACAAATATTTATTCTATATGTATCTGTCAGGAAAATTCACTGTCCTCATGGGGCATACAGATTAGTAGCTGGAAAGACACTGAAAATTTCTGCAGATGTAATTATGATAATACTGAGAAGGAGAACAAATTGTTCTTGTTTGCACCAAGACCTAAAGAAAAAGGTAACTATGTTAAAGTTGGGGCAGAGGGAGGTCTAGAGAGTTGTGGGAGATGACAGAGAAGGAACAGCAGTAGGGGCCTGGAAATTAAGCTAATGTACTCCAGGCAAAGTCCCAAGGTAAGAAGGAATGTGGCTTCTCAATTGCAAAGAACTGAAAGACCAGTTTCTGGAATGGAGAAAGTGAGGGAGAGAATGACACGTGATGAACCTCTACAACCAGACAGAAGGAAGATCACACACAACCTTGTAGGTATTAAGGATCGAGCCTTTATCCTAAAGGCAATGGTGTACCATTAAAGAGTGTAAGGAGAGAAGTGACATAGTCACAGGTACTTTAGTGGGAAGGTGAAAGATGATGGTGCCTTGGACTTGCTGTGGTGACTGTGACAATTTAGGGAAGTAAATGGATTGAAGAAGTGTGTAGGAGATAGACTGGAAAAGTCTTGGTAATTAATGAATTGGAAGAGGGCATGGTAAGGAAAAGGTAAATAAAGAATAAATCAATGATGATTTAACCTAGACTTCTTGCTCAAGCATCTGAGTGGATGGTGGTGGTCTTTACCAATACAAAGAATACTTGGGAAGATAAAACTTGGAAGTAGGAAGACATTGAGTTCTGTTCTAGAAAACACTGAACTTTGCATGCCTATCATGAAAAATCCTGTAGACATATCCAGTTGACCATTAGATAGACAGGAAGCTCTGGGAAAGGTCTTTGCTGGATATATGAATTTGAGAATCACCAGCATAAAGATGGAAATGGGAGACTCAACAGTTTAGTTTTTTTTAAGTTTATATATTTATTTTGAGAGAGAGAGAAAGTGCAAGTGGGGGAGGGGCAGAGAGAGAGAGAGGGAGAGGGGGGGAGAGAGAGAGAGAGAGAGAGAGAGAGAGAGAATCTCAAGCAAGTTCCACACTGTCAGCATGGAGCCCAATGTGGGGCTCAAACCCACAAACCATGAGATCATGACCTAAGCTGAAGTTGGACCCTCAACAACTGAGCCACCCAGGTGCCCTGGGAGCCTCAATAGTTTATGATCTCCCCTAAAGAGAGTTTGTAAAGTGGCAGCTAAGGATCTCAGGTTGGAGTCCTTAGGAACTCCCAAATGGCATGAACAGCAGAGGAGAAAGAGCCATTGGAGGAAATTGAGAAGGGGCCACCAAAGTAGGCAGTCACCAGGAGGGTGTGACATCACAAACCCAGCAAAAGAGGAGGTGTCACAAAGGGTGATCAGTTGTGTCAAACACTACTAAGAAGTTGAGCTTTAAGTCTGGATTTAAGAAGACATTAGATATAGCAGCATGAAAGTCTTTGTTGGATCTTAATAGGAATATACTCAGATAAGTGGAGGCAACAATCTCTCAGGTAGAAGGTGAAAGGCCTCTTGAAGCCAGACCAGCCAGTTTTTGTAGCAGGCTCTGCTTTATTCCTAGAGTGGATTGAGAAGTCAGTGTGAGTGCTATGACTACAAGAAACCTACTTACATGGAAAAAAAGTTTTATAAGGGGAAATGGGTGCATATGGACAATTTATGTAGTGGCACTACAGGCAAATTTTATATTTATACTATTTGTGCAATACTCTATAAAAATATCTCTGGATATACTTTGGGGGAAAAATATTCCTAGAGGACAGGGAATGTGGACACTGAGTTGGGATGTGAAGAATGCAGAAGACAAAATAGGTCATTAGAAATAGACTTCTTTGGACACGTCTGACCATAAGTGATAAAGCGTCAAAGCTGTGCTATATATATGGGAACCTGCGGTTAGGGAAGGTGTGAAAGTATTTAATACTGATTCATAAAAGCTGCAGAGGGCAAGATTCGAGTTCCAGGGAGAATAGAAGATGCAGAGAGCACAAAGCTCTGATAAAGACTTGGATGATTCAGACTAGGAAGGAGGTCCAGAGAGAAGACGAAGACGGTCATCATAGAGGTTTGGGGATAGGAAGTTGACAGTAATCTAGTCAAACCACTCTAGTTTCCATGTGAGGTTGAAGGTGATGGGACAGCAGGTAGTCAAGGAGGTGAAGAGAGTGGAGAAGGGTTGGCATATGTTTCGAAGAGCTTTTTATTAAAGTAAGCATGGTTTGAGTCTGAGAAGCTTGTAGTCTTGACTTTTCATACACTTCACAACTAGGGACTAGTTGCCTTGACATGATTTACATTATACTCTGGAGATCAATTAAGAAAATTATGTTAGTCTCAGAAAATTAATGATTGCAATAGAATATATAAAACACTAATTACTATTAACACATCTTTTGATTCATTATATGTATAATTACATTTTAATGCTTGAAGTTTTATTTTTAAAACTTCACATAAACTTGCCACAATTTTATGTTGTGCCTGTACTAAGAATGTTGTTTTCATCAAAGTGAATTTGAGTGGATTTTGCCTCTGTCTTTTTGCAGTATTTTATTAATTTTCTGCCATTTTCTAACCTATGTAATAGTGCATTGTTGTACATCCACTCTTTAAATGCTTTATACACTTTCCTACCCTTCTGAATAAACTGCTCACTACTAAAACAATACCACTTTCTTCTCCCAATAACCTAATCTCCCCTTTATTTAACAGCAATAACTAAGATATATTGGTGACACATTTTTCAAAGTGTTATCATATATATTACCCTAGTTACCACCATTACAACACTGTGAATTATATACTTCAATCATTATTCTATAGATAAAGAAACAGATAACTTGCTCAAAATTACATGACTAGTAAAGAGCAAAGCTAGGATTTGAATTCAAATCTTTTGATCTTTCAGCTCAGTGCACTTAACTGTACTAGTGTTTCCCTAAATGGTGTATGAATAGACTTAAATTAAAATTTGGTGGATTTGAATAAAAACACTAAGTAAATAATAACAGAGATGGTATGCAGATTTGGCAAAATTCATAAAGATATGTGTGCATGAATGAAATTTTCCTAATCCTTATAGTCACTGAAAGATGAGCGAAAACCAGGGTAATTCTCCCATTTTAAGATAAAGGATAGGGGCGCCTGGGTGGCTCAGTCGGTTAAGCGGCCGACTTTGGCTCAGGTCGTGATCTCGCGGTCCGTGAGTTCAAGCCCTGCGTCGGGCTCTGTTCTGACAGCTCGGAGCCTGGAGCCTGCTTCTGTTTCTGTCTCTCCCTCTCTCTCTGCCCCTCCCCCATTCACGTTCTGTCTCTCTCTGCCTTTCAAAAATGAATAAGTGTTCAAAAAATTAAAAAAAAATAAGATAAAGGATAAGTCAGTTAAGGGGATGTGACCTTAGCTAGGGTAATATAGAGGTGTGCCTGTCTTCAATGAAACCTGATATTTAAATCCAACTGCCTCTCCTCTAAAAAAAAAATCAACAGAAAGGGAAATTATATTACAAAATGACCTTTCATTATGAGGATCTTTTTAATAATTATAGATAACATCTGGTCTTGGCTCTTACAGGCATTATCTCATGTGATCCTTCTACAATCATGTAAGGTAAGTACATTTATTAATCTAATTTTTCAGATGAGGAAGTGCAATAAGAGTCAAACCTGTTGTTAAATCAATAAATTAAATGTACATAGTTTTGTAGAGTAGCAAATTCCACATAAAGCAGCAGCAATTAATGACGGCATCTAATGAACACTCTGTAAAGGTTCTGTTTCCTTTACTCTGTAAAGCGTTTGGGTCAGGAGACCCAGATTCTAACCCTGCTTCAACCTAACACCAGCTCAGTCACAATCCTTAGACAAATCACTTAAATTCTAGGCCTTATTTTTCCATATCTATAAAATAAAAAGGTTGAAATTTGCCTTTCCTAATGTTCTCTTTATTTCTAAAACTCTATACTTTTACTTTTCAAATTATTAATAGTATTTCTATGTGTCATGTCAGTAATGCGTAGATTGCATAAGTTAGATGTATTGCTGAGGACCTAAAGCTAAAATCAAGAATTGTTCCCAGTTGTTCTGATAGAGTGCCAACATTGTAATTTCTATCACTTGTCCTAAAAGAAAGAAACTGGGTTAACTGACCTATTTCAAGCAGTAGGTTGGGAGCAATTATTAAAGCATAGCACTTGAAGTGACAACCCAGAAAACAAACATTTTTGGAGCAACCATTCTAACAGGACATTCTGGGAGAAACAAATAAATGGTCTTGTCCTTAATAAGCTCATGTACAATTGAGGAAACAAGATCAAACCCGTGAAAATTTAAATTGCTGATCAAAGTGTAGAGTTGGAAAGGCCCTTTGACCTCGTCTAGTCACAGATTCACAGAATGTGAGAGCTGAAACGGATCTTAGTAATGGACGCACCTCTTTCCTTCCCTGTACCAACCCTCATTCATGGATGAGAAGACCAAGGGCCAGAAGGGTGAGATCACCTGTCTATAGCCAGCCAGTAAGTTAACAAAAGAGCAGGGATTAGAACACCATTCAAGAGCCACAGTAGGTGAGTTTGATTCAAGTGGAGAACTAAAGCTAAAGAATGGTTGCCAATTGGGATGTGTTGTAGAGGCCTTTCTGTATCATACCTGAACACTGAGAAGCCACAAGAGGTCTTTATGGTAGAGAAGGGTTCACTGGACAGTCAAGAAATGATTGCATGGAACACAGCTGTTAACAATTAAAATTTTTTTAATGTTTATTTATTTTTGAGAGAGACAGAATGTGAGTAGGGGAGAGGTAGAGAGAGAGAGGGAGACACAGAATCCTTAGCAGGCTCCAGGCTTTGAGCTGTCAGCACAGAGCCCAATGCGGGGCTTGAACTCATGAACCATGAGATCATGACCTGAGCCGAAGTTGGACGCTTAACCGACTGAGCCATTGAGGTGCCCCATAGCTGTTAACAATTAAATTAAGCATGTCTCTGTATGCCAATGTGGAGCTATCAGCACATACTATTAAAAAAAAAAAAAAGGAAAAAAGCAAGGTGTACAATAGCATGTATGTGCCCACATGTGTGCAAATGCATAAAAATTCTCTGGACAGTTAAGTAAAAACATGCTTATTCTGTTTGCCTGCAGCGAAGGGAATTGGATGGCTGAAGTACAGGTGTAGGAGCTGGATAGATTTTTCTTTGTATGTTCTTTTGAACGCTTTTATTTGGGACCTTTTGCATATATTACTTACATACAATCATCATTTTTAACAAAGACATTTTTGTCTGGCCTGGAAAGCTCTTTGGTTTTTTTAAATTTTAGATACAATATTTTTGTGGTAGACAATACCTTTTGGTAAAGTACTTGTCTGACTATAGAGTGATAGTATCAAGGTTAATTGTATAGTTACTGCTTCATTCATATTCAAAAAAATGTTAGAAAGGGTGTGATATCCTGACATTAAAAGTTGATTTATTTCCCCCTGTGCTTACTTTCCAAGTAATGACTGCAGTTTTTGAAAGCATGCCAGATACTGTCACACACAACTCAGATGGGAATCTAAACGCAGCCATATCCTCCCACAGCTGGCTGAGGACTCAGTGTGTGCTATATATAGCAAGGACAAATAAAATCAATCCTACTTTAAAAATGCAATTCATGAGATATCTGCAAAATAGTGAACTTGATACACATTCTGTAATGGAATTGGAAGAGAGGAGCAATACCCAGGTTGACCAGCCTTTGCCTTTCCTAGTTGTCTAGTTTCTAGAACATGATTGGACCCATAGCTCATCCAAATTCACTTAGCAAGCCCTGTTGTAGCAGGAGTAAACAGAATCTACAAACTTGCGGTTCTGTTCCTCCAAAGAAAGACCTTCCCAGCTGAGCTTTGCTTATGTAGAAACATCTGCTCCATCGAAGATCATGTTTCAGTGCTTTTGTGAATGCATGCTCAGCCTCATAATTTCATATTTTAGCTAGGTTTAGATTTTCTAGAAAGTAAAAGAGCATCTATCTAGCGAATTTTTTTTAAGTTTATTTATTTATTTTGACAGAGAGTACTTGTGTGTGGAGGGTGGGGGGGTGAGGGGAGAGAGAGAGAGAGACAGAGAGAGAGAGAGAGACAGAGAGAATTCCAAGCAGGCTCTAGTCTATTAATGCCGAGCCCAATTCGGGGCTCGAACCCATGAACCGTGAAATCATGTCCTGACCCAAGATCAAGAGTCAGATGCTTAACTGACTGAGCCACCCAGACACCCCCTACCCAGTGGGTTTAAACCCTTTTGGGGTAGCAGCAGCAGTAACCTGCTCTTCCAGAAATTCTGCCCAGTGACTTGCCGCTTTGGGAATTTTCCTGGCTTTTGTAAACCAGAGTCAGACCCTGATGCTCACAAGTTTAAACTGATCTTAAGGAGTAAGTTTCAGATTGGCTCTGCCTTCATTCTAGCTGCTTTCAACCATAGTGGTGGTTCACAACTACCTAACGAGTTTTAGGGAGAATTCAGGTACCTGAGTCTTCCCTGTCTCTAAATCTCCTGAGCTGTAGGGAGCCCTGAGGAGAGCAGGAGGACAGTGGAGAGGATGGGGGAATAGTGGTGTGAATAATAGGAACGCCCTGGAGAGTTGAACAGGGGGCAGCTCATTCATGGCCTCTGGATCATGGTGTGGATTTTCATCTTCAGTCTAAGAGCAGAAAGGAAATCATTGAAGTCTGAAGGGGAATTGCTCAATATATACTTGCTTTTTTAATCCACCTGGCCATAGTACAGGAACTTGGTGGAGGGGACAAAAGTGGATGGATATAGCCCATTGGGAAAACCAGCCATTGCCACCAACAGTGTACCAGTGTTCCTTTTTCTCCACATCCTGACTAATACCTGTTGTTTCTTGTGTTGTTGATTTTAGCCATTCTGATGGGTGTGAGGTGACACCTCCTTATAGTTTAGATTTGCATCTTCCTGATGGTAAGTGATGATGAACATCTTTTCATGTACCTGTTGTCCATCTGGATGTCTTCTTTGGAGAAATGTCTGTTTATGACTTCTGCCCATTTTTAATTGGACTGTTTGGTTTTGGGGTGTTGAGTTTTATAACTTCTTTATAGATTTTGGATACTAGTCCTTTATCGGACATGTCATTTGCAAGTATGTTCTATCATTCCATAGGTTGCCTTTTAGTTTTGTTGATTGTTTCCTTTGCTGTGCATGTTTTTATTTTGATGTAGTCCCAATAGTTTATTTTTGCTTTTGTTTCCCTTGCCTCAGGAGACATCCAGAAAAAAGTTTCTATAGTCAACATCAGAGAAATTACTGCCTGTGTTCTCTTCTAGGATTTTTATGGTTTTAGGACTTGCATTTAGGTCTTTAATCCATTGTGAATTTATTTTTGTGTATGGTGTAAGAAAGTGGTCCAGTTTCTTTTTTTTGCATGTTGCTGTCCAGTTCTCCCAGCATCATCTGTTGAAGAGACATTCCTTTTCCCATTGGATATTCTTTCCTATTTTATTGAAGATTAATTGGCCATATAGTTGTGCGTTTATTCTGGGTTTTCTATTCTGTTCCATTCATTTATGTTTCTGTTTTTCTGCCGGTACCATACTGTTTTGATTACTAAAAAAGGAGGGTGGTGGGGTTTAGGTTAAATAGGTGATGGATATTAAGGAGTGTGCTTGTTGTGATGAGCACCAGGTGATGTATGGAGTTGCAGAATCGCTATATTGTGCACCTGAAATTAATATTACATTGTTAACTAACTGGAATTAAAATAAAAATTAAAAAAAAAATCCAACTAGTATCACCTAGGAAAGAAGCAATAGAGTTAAAGAGGAGTGGATAGTTGGAGAGGTGTTTAGGAGGTACAACCAGTTGAGAGACATTGATAATTGACTGGAGGATATAAAGGAAAAGGAAGGAGCTGAGAATAATTTCCAGATTCTTAGGTTTCTAACAAAGACAGGAAGTTATACGTTTGACTATTCCTTCCTGGCCTGGGCTATGCCCTGGTGCTGGCTGAACTTGCCCCAGGGTCTGGCCTAAGGCCACTCCTGGCAGTGTTTCATGAATCAATGGTTCACCAGCCTGTTGTGTCCTAAAGGGCTGGTTGCCCACATAACCACAATCCTGGCTCCAAAGAATAATGCAGTCACAGAATCTTTTGTGCCTTGTCTTAGCTAGAGAATGCAGTTTATAAGTATCAGGAAGACATTTTATTTAATCTTTAGAGACTCAATCACCAAGTGATACTTGGGGAAGTTTGTACTCTGTAGAAATTGAAAAGGCAAATATTCATAGAGTTTTTTCCTAATTGTTAAAAAGATAAAAGCTATTTAGAATTATGTCTTCATTCAGTTATTTTACCTGTATATGTGTGTGGGTATGTCTGTGCATGTGGGTGTGTATGTCAGGCAGTTTTGAAAATATGCTTAATCGTTCATATTTTTTCTGAATTTCTGAAAAGCAAGCAACACAGTATCACCATGATGTGCATAGTTAAGAAAATGATTGTATCTTGACAGAGTAAGTGTGGTTTTTAATGTGCAAATCAACACTCAACAATTAGTTGAGTGTAGACAGATTGGTCCTAGACCTCTACTCTCTTGATTCCATGGCTGATAAAAAGATTCTAAGAGGTTCAGCAGTTCAGGGGTGATCTTTCATAGCAGGAGTGAGGAGACCAAATTCTAGAGACTCCCCCTCTGAACTGCTACTTACTGTCACACAGTGTTGGATGAAGGCACATGTGACCTCTCAACTAAACCAAGACTGCCGGAAAGAACATTGCCTTTGCAGAGGAGACTATTTTATTTTATTATTTTTTAATTTTTTTAAATGTTTTATTTATTCTTGAGAGAAAGAGAGACAGAGCATGAGTGAGGGAGGGGCACAGCGAGAGAGGGACACAGAATCCAAAGCAGACTCCAGGCTCTGAGCTGTCAAGTACAGAGCCTGATGTGGGGCTCAAACTCACAAGCCATGAGATCATGACCTGAGCCGAAGTCGGCAGCTCAACCGACTGAGCCACCCAGGCACCCCAGAGGAGACTATTTTAAAGAACTTGACAGCAGGTACCTTGGGTCCTCTGTCTTACCTCTCTTTGTTAAAATGGGTTATACTAGTAAGCTGCCACTAATGAGGTGGTTTATCTGGTTTCATTGTCCCTAATTTTGTTACCTGCCCCATGTAATGTTGGCCCAAGCTTCCCCTGCTTAGAGGCATGGTAAAACCTTTATGTCTAGGAAAGCCCCACCCAAGAAGAGATTCTGCTTTCTTGAGTGTGGGCTCTGAGCCAGGCCTGTTGCCTGAGGTGCTGCTTTCTGTAACAGACTAATTTAGAAGCTTTAAGCCATTCTGTAATCTTATTTTCTGGCCTAGGCGGGCCAGAAACCATACAGAGAACTGAGATGAAACGAATAAGCCAAGAGAAAGAGGCAAAGACCTATTTCTCCATCCCCTAAGATGATCAGAATCTCTGTTTTAGATTTTACTTGCTTTTAGCATCCAACCACTAAGAAGGGTTTCTGGTCAGAAATAGACATCAGTTATCTAGCGTCGTGGCTGGGAGCTGAGCTCTAGCAAAGCTCTTCACAGAAGTCAAAGCAACTGGGCTAAGATCAGTGAGGTGGGAGAAGACACAAACAGGTGGAAAATAGAGGAAGCGTGAAGCCTAATTTTCAGGGAGGAAGGGCAGAGTGTTCCCTCTCCTTCATATGGCAGTAGGCCCAACCTTGATGTTCTGCTCTTTCCCTTCTCTTAAGGGATCTCTCTCCTCACCCCCCACCCACCCCCTGGCACTTCAGGGGGGCACGTTTATCCACAGGGACCCCAAGTCTCTTCTCACTGCCCACATCCACAGGTTATGCACTCAGATGCATGGTAGCTGTAGCTACTGCTTTAAAGAGACTGGTGCTGGGGTGCCTGGGTGGCTCAGTCGGTTGAGCGACCGACCGACTTCGGCTCAGGTCATGATGTTGCAGCTTGTGAGTTCGAGCCCCGCGTCGGGCTCTGTGCTGACCGCTCGGAGCCTGGAGCCTGCTTCCAATTCTGTGTCTCCCTCTCTCTCTGCCCCTCCCCTGCTCATGCTCTGTCTCTCTCTGACAAATAAATAAACATTAAAAAAAAAAGAGAGACTGGTGTTCCTGTATCCATTGCCTTTTAAACTCCTATGGAGCATTCTTCCTGATACCTTTTATTTAAATATACATGTAATAAAACACTTTTAGGTGCTAGTGTCTTATGTCAATTTGATTTTACTCTTGTTGCTTTTTCCCAGCGACTCATAGAAAACTTGTTTTCTCTTCCTTCTTTGCCACCCCCAGCCACACCCCTACTCTCTGCTGCTGGTTTGACCTCAGCTGGCCACAGGCCAAAAAATGTGGGTGGGCAGGTACCAGTCCCCGACTGCTAGAAGCTGTTGGGGCTGAGACTGGGGACTTCTGGGGATGGAGAGGGAAGGAGGGTGTAGCCCACAAACTTTCTCAAAGCTTAAGAGAGTTTTTTTTTTTTTAATTCTGTTGAGAATATTACGAAATACTCATTCTGAATAAGTACAATATACGCTGTTCTTAGAAAACTCTCCAAAATATATACTATTAAGTGAAAATGCTGTTGATAACCAATTAGTAGTATCTAATTCCATTGCTGTTGGTTTTCTTGGGATGTACATATATATACTTTTATAAGCACAAGATTTTTGAGGGGAGGGAAAAATTGCTTACAGTGATTACTTGTGAGGAAAGGATTGGAGTACAACTTTTTATTGTACGTGCCTCTGTACTCTTTGAATTTGTTTTTGACCCTAGTGCATATATTGCCATTATAATAAAAAAGTTTAAATGTTTTTTTAAAAGAAATGTTAATTTTCTGTCCCTTAGTGATTTACTGAAAGCTATCCATAAAGATACTAAACGGAAGTTGAGGCTGAATAGGCTGTGTGTATAATAAATGTATAATACCATTTTGAACACTTACTATATGGCATAGCTGTTATCATTACTTTATGTAATTATTTAATACTTACCAAAATCAAAGGAGGTAGTACAGTATAATCCTCAGTTTATGAATGAGGAAAACAGGTTTAGAGAGATTATATAATATTCACAAGGTCACACAGCTAGTTAGTAAGTTCTTGGAGCTGACCTCTTCATAAGGGCAAGCTAAACATCTGCCTTGTCTACCAGACTCCCCACATCCTAGCAAATTGCCTGATACATGGCAAGAGACATGAATACATTTAGCAAATAAATGAATATCTGATAGGGGCGCCTGGGTGGCTCAGTCGGTTGAGCGGCCGACTTCGGCTCAGGTCATAATCTTGCGGTCCGTGAGTTTGAGCCCCGCATCAGGCTCTGTGCTGACAGCTCAGGGCCTGGAGCCTGTTTCGGATTCTGTGTGTCCCTCTCTCTGACCCTCCCCCATTCATGCTGTGTCTCTCTCTGTCTCAAAAACAAATAAACGTTAAAAAAAAATTTTTTTTTAAATGAATATCTGATATAAAGCCCATGCCATTTACTACGCTAAATCCCACCCCCCCAGAGCTATACTTGGGGTAGGCAGAAGGCACCGTATCAGCATTATTTCCAGCGGCAGGTCCAGGTGTTGAGTCAGAGAGGCATGAATAAAGACCCAAACCTAAGGTGAGCCCTTACCCCTAGCACTGTGCTCAAGTATGTTCCGTAGGACTGTTGTTCTAGACCCCTTCTCCCATTCGGGCAGTAAAAGACATTTTTGTTTATCCAGACTGATTTACTACCCTAGTATTTCATTCATTCATTCATTCATTCATTCCCTCATCAAATATTTACTGAGTATTGAGGATATAGCAGTGAAAAACACATGTAAGGCCACTTTGTACCTCTAGTATTTTGTCCTAAAGGAGGATATAACAAAGAATAAAAAACTAATAAATGAGAAAAGATCAGGTAGTTTAAAGAACATGGTGTCATAAATCCCAAATATTGTTATCAAAA